TCTCTCATCACCACTTCCCAAATCATTACCATCTGGCCCCTGCCCTACCCACTTTCCTGAAACTTATTGTCAAGATCACATATAATATTGCAATTGCCCAGTAAAATTCTCTGCATCTTCACTTTATTCTCATTTTTTCAGTGTTTAGTAACAAGGACTACATCCTTTTCCTCAAAATTCTAATCTTACCTTCTGTGACATTACACTCTCTTACTCTTACTCTTTTTCAAATCTACTTTTCTGGTTCTTCTTCCTTTTGTCCTTTAAATCTGAGCGTTCCACAATGCTTTATCCTTGAACATATTTCCCTAATTTTTCTTTACCCCAACCACCTTATTTCCATACCTTCAACAATCGCTATTTGAAACTCACTGAGTTTCTAACCTGAACTACACGTTCATAACTAAATGCTAAACAGGAACCGCCAGGATCTCCATTGCCAGCATCTAAAATATAACAGGGTCAGCCATCTGTTCTTCCCAACAAAATTCATCTTCTATGATCCTTATCTTGTGTAGTATCATCCTAGCTGTAACTACCACCACAATCCTCCAAGCTAGAGTTTGGATTCATCTTTGACCTGTTTCCAAACACTATCAATTCCTTTACAATCCTTTTTCATCACTATTGCACTCTCATCCTTTTCCTGAACTTCCCAATGGCTTTCTTTGTAATCAACGCTTTTCAATTTTAAACACTGGTAATAGATTAGACGTTAATCTTATTTCTATCTGTCAACAATCCTATTCCCTCCTCAAATGCTATATTTTATGAAGTCCCTTATGACACTTTTTCTGTATCACCTCATTGAAAGATATCACACTTTCTTCTGTAAGCTCATAAAACTTTGGTGGTATCTTTCCTAAGACACTGCCTTTGATTACTTATTTAGACTATAAACTTCTTGACCAAAGGTATATCTTAAACACCCCTGTAATCCCAACAGTTCCTGACACCATGTTTGCATATAGAATTATATTTGTATATATTAACATTTGGTAAATGAATAGAGTTGCATTAATAACAATAAGTCATTTGACAGGTTAACAATCTCTTCTCCATAATATTAGTTAATATTTATTGAGCGATTATTACCCAGCTACTCTAAGC